TTCCCTTTATAACTTTCTCTCTAATAAAGAACCCCTAAAATTTGGACAGTGCCCTAAAGTTTTCCTGGTGCTTTCACACTTGGATATATGCCTTATCTTGTTTTATTCTCACAACAGTCCTGTAAAGCAGGCAGAGCAGAAATTATGACAGCCATTTTATAGGCGAGGAAACCGAAAACTCAGAGAAGCTAAAAGTCTCACCCACCATCACTCGAGATTACAACTCTGGGCTTTCAATTCTACATCAGTGTATCCTTCCCTACGCTTCCGTGCTCAACAACTATTACACATAAAGTCAGCAATCCAAAATTTAGAAGCAATTGCTAAAGTTCATGGTGTTTTAGTCTTATCACTCTATCGACAACTACCAAAAGAGGAAAAGGATTGTGTTGTATACTAATTTGAATCACTCACAATATTTAATACAATATGGAGTCTCACACAACAGTCAATAAATGCTTGTTGTTTGATCCGTAAAAATCCTACCATCTGTACACCTTAGCCATTTCTATTTTCTAGAAGTTCGTTCTTTCTCAAAAAGATACAGATCACTTCTCAGTACTTTTGCACACCCACTCATCTTTCTCTTCCTTTCCCTGTCCCCTGGGTCCCAAACTTCTACTGTGGAAAGAACACTTGGAAATTTATCAGAAAAGGGATCCATACATTGAGGCTCAACATGATTCTTTTTAGAATTATTTTCTCTGTGTTTCTAACAGAGAAACGAAGACAAGTTTTTTGTTTTTTGAAGAAATGTTTACATTTTGAGGATCCTTGTAAAAGTATAATCATTGCAGAAATGAACTGTCTTATTAGAATTAGCAATTATCTCTAGGATTATATTAATAATTTCTCTTCTTATAGAAACATTCTAGATTACTGCATCTCAAAATCTAGGAAACCACACAAATATCCATCAGAAGTGAGTAGATAAGCAACATGTAGTACATCCATACAATGGAATACTACTCAACAAAAGAGAATGAGGTTTGGTAACATTCAACATGCATGACTCTCAACATAATTATGCTGAGTGAAAGAGGATAGACACCAAGGCTACTTATGATTCCATTTATGTAAAATGTTAGGAAATTCAAAGTACTCTATAGTGACAGTTGTTGCCTGGGCATGGGACAGGGGGCACCAGAGGCTTAGCAGCTGGGGAGGAGTAGGGTTAGAAAGGGATACGAGAAAACTTCAGGGGATGATGTGTAGGTTCATTATCTTTTTAAAAAATATATTTTTATTGATTTCAGAGAGGAAGAGAGAGGGAGAGAAAGATAGAAACATCAATGTTGAGAGAGAATCATTGATCTGCTGCCTCCTGCATGCCCCACACTGGGGATCGAGTTTGCAACCTGGACATGTGCCCTGACTGGGAATCGAACTGTGACCTCCTGGTTCA